GTACATTACAGTTGATATCAGTCGAGGTGGTTTCAAGACGTGTGAAATGAGCGCAGGTGCAAACGTTTGCCAGCTGGTAATTAAATCGATCATTGGCCGATCACCACTGGTGGAGCAGGATAGCGGAGGCGAGCTCATTCCGCCCCTCCTGACACCGCCCCGACTCATTGCGACGTTATCAACCGCACAAGGCCAATCTAGGTCACAGGAACGCAATCTGTGATTGGTTATTCTTCTTTTCAGGCAACTCACCAGTGCTCTGCAGTCAATCCAGTACCTATCCTACGACCAAAACACGCTGGCTATGCTTTCGCCTGCCATTAATCAGCTGAAAGCAACGGTTAGTGAAGTGATGCATTATCAAAGGCATATACTGTTTCATAAGAGTCATACTGCATTGCATTTATAAGGTGAACAGGTTCAGTCGCATAGTTCCATGTACCACGTTCGCAAAGTGTGACGAAGGAAAGTGGATCAGGGGCTTGACATGTCCAACGTCTCGCACCCAACTCCCCCCCCCCCCCTATTAGGGTGTCCCAACATTTTTTGAATCTCTTGTCCCAACATTCTTTGAATCTCTATCAGATGTTTCCGCGACTATTTTGAGATTCAGTTATATGGTCTATGGAAAGTCTGTTAAGTAAGTATCTCACAGTAGCTTCACCGTCTCTAGCAGTCGCTGTTCTCCAAAACGGTGGATGAAATTCATCATTTTCGTCACCGCTATATGAATCTCCACCAGGTCCCAACAAGGTGGGAGCCCTGCGCGACATTTGCGTGAGTTAGGTCCTGATGCTACCTTCCATAGTACGGCGTTGATATGGACCGATCGCTTCCGCTTAAGTTGCTTCTACCTTGGGACAGATTTCTTCCTGGGAGGCCATCTTCCTTGGAATTTAGACCTACTGCGTCCCCTGATCAAAACAATTTCGTACGAGTCAACTCTCCATATGAATCACTCCCGGAAGCGCCAATGGACTAAATCCTCCAGAAAGGGTGGAACCAGTCGCGCAATCCTATCAATCCAGTAGGGCGGTGATACTGTGTATGCGCGGGGGGATGGTTTGCCGCTGCAGGAGATTTCTTCCTCTCAACCTGACCAACGTAACCAAGAAGCTTCTGGAAGCAAGGCAACCACTCTTTGCCTGGTGGTTGGCAACAAGGGGTAATATAGACATTGCTGATCAAAACTGCTTCTCACTGAAGTGACTGACTCGAAAAAAAAATCTCGAAATTATTACAAGAGATTCTGGACGGACACCCTAAAAACTACGAAATGTGGAAGTGTGGAGCAAAAGGTCAGCAAAACGAACAAGTATAAGATGGAAGCTGCATAGTTAGCGTGAATACCACAGAGGGAAAACCCTTTGAAAAAATCAACTGAAAGCGATGCACTTCGAGTGAATCGTTAACGGTCGACAATTTGTCCTTTTCAACTTTAATCAATTGCGGATTATTTTTCAGACTGCAACGGCATCGTCCAACTGCAGGCAGCAACCGCTTTCAGTGGCTGCACAGAGCAATTTGAGCGGAAATGTAAGTTCTGTTGATTACACGTGAGTTGACTTGTAGGTGAAGTTTTGTAGAGCTAGCAACGGAAAAAACTTCATCGGGGTTTGGTCAACTCCTATCAAGGCCAGACACAATCTTCATCGATCAAGTACGACCCCTGATGGGATTTTCGCCACGATACTGTACCCCTGAGGAAAGGACGGGTGGGCAGGGTTACATTGACGAGGGGCCACAATGACAATCGCCCACAGAATCGCAAATATCTCTGGGCTAGTTGATTCGTTTTGGTCGAGACTTCCATGGACAACAAGATACTCCCAAATGCTGAAAATATGAACATGTCCATCTGATGAACATTGCGAACGCTTTTCAATTCAAGGAGAGGGGGAGGCATTATGCATTTTCGCTAGTTTTCTCTGCTAGTTCATGTTAACTAACAGGTCTGACGAAAGCAAGACCTGTAAACTCTTGCAAAGCTGCCAAAATTTGCAAGTGGGCCACTTTGGCCACGGAAATTCACAGGTATTCACAAGGTGGCCGGCCTGTATTCGCTGGGTACTATTTGGTGCCCACACGAAGCCGAACTGCTCTCGAATGTCGCGCATTTGAAGCTGCTCGTAACGCCTGATTCGCCTACTTGGCCATAGCTGGATTTCGGTGCCACGCCCACCCTCTAGAGTGTGTCATGACATCCGCTCACGAGCTCAGAAGGGAAAAAAATCAAAATCATGGTTCTCTTGGTCTAGACGCGGGAGTGCTCATATTATTTATGTTTACCATTTATTTTCAGCTGGTCTTTTGGACAAACAGTGGGCGCAATCCAACACCACAGCAAGTACAAAATCTGTTCAATACCGCGAGCCAATTCCTTCAACAGTACTGCTGAGAAATTGGCTGTTGAAAATGTATTCACACGCTTGAATAAACAGACGTCACCTTCTTCTCCTGCCTGTTTTTTTTTGTTTTGAACTAGACACATAAGATCATTAGTGCCAGGCCCCGCTGCCGATTCGTGAGATTCCCTCCTTGCCCTAAATATTCCGGCGGTCTCGAACATTGCCCACTTTTGCGACTCCACAGTGAATGACAGGGCACTGCAGCCGTCGTAACATGGAGGTACGCCACTTGTGGAGGTTGTCTCTTCTACTCCGGGGACGAGATCTGCCAACAGTCCTGGCAGTAGTACAGGTGGTCACTTCGCGCGGGACCAACTTGCACTCTACCTCGCCTTCCAGCTCCTCCTTTCGCGCGAAGGCAAGGATTTTCGGTGATGCCTCGTTCTAAAGAGACAATGCACACAATCTTTTCATAGGGTTTCATAAATTTTACCAACGACGCTATATTTTATTGGTGCAACAGTTCGTTGGTGCAGCACCACCGTGATTATAATTTCGCACACAAGTTTTCTTGGGTTGTTCACATTCTAAAACTGCGTTTTTCCTTGATAAGGCAAACACTCCTCGGTCTTTTATTGACTACACCCTTGACTATGGTGTGGAGTACAAAACGACATCCACCTATCGGCCACCTTTCAGCTTCACTTCTACGCTCTTTCAATGATGAAAGTGGCATAAAAGTGTGCTTTCGAAGCTGCAGAGTCCACCAAGCAAGGATCCAGCTTGCAAGTTTGGCATGCAGTGATCCATTGGAGGCGTGACAAGAACTCCGCGCGCATTTTACAGGGGTTGTTCACTCTCTGTAAACAATGAAAAGGGTTTGTGGAGCGCCTGAAAGGCCGCAAATCGTGGATTTAAGCCAGTGAAACCTCTTAACTTCCTGGTTTGTTGAAAACAGTCTTCCGAAACACATTCGAGATCAACTATTGAAAATTCATCTGGTAGTATAGGCATCATCAAATTGCCCACTTTCTCTCGGTCGCCAATTACTATTGCCAAGTTTGGTGAAGTGGCTGCTTGAGTATGAGGGAGAAGGCTGAGGTTCCCCGCGCGCGTTTAGATGCAGCTTCAGCCACTTCTACATAAATTGTTTGAAGCTGACACGATGCATCTGATACAAAACGAGCTGACTCCGCGCCGAAGCGAGCCCTCTGACACGCCCTAGCGTCTAAGCAGAACCCTACGCGATACTTCGATTCTTTGGTGATCCTTCAACTATGCCGCCGATTTTTTCGGTGGGAACACAGCTTCTTCCATAAGAGATTTTTGGCGACTTTTGACAAACGAGTGGGACCAACGGCCGTTGGTGGTTCATCCCCACAGGCCTCGTTGTGATTGTCAGAATCTCTGTGAGGCGGGAGACTCCTCTATCATCCGGTTGCGACGGTATGAAATGACAGCAGCCTGTGTTTTGTATAACGTGTAGTAAACTCTTTCCAGGCGCAGATCGCTCCCTCAAGTCTGTATTCCGTAAACCTTGTCGCCATTGCTGGCGGTGGCCGAACTTCAAACTACATCTCTCCAATGCACGTTGTTGGCATCGCCTTGGTGATTGTCTTGATTTTCAGTCCAGGTTTCGGTTACGTAGCACATCGCTAGGTCTATCGTGGTGTTGCATATTGAGGCATGTATTATATTTGATATGGTCTTCAATAATGGCCGGTAAAAAAATGTCCGACCAGGAATTCAATAAAGTGTAAACTTATCAGCGGCCTCGAAATGTCAATGAAGAGAAAAGACTTTTATATTGCCACCCCCCCTCTCCCCCCCCCTCGTTAGGAGGGAGAAAGTCACCAGTCCCTTGCTCGGATCACAGTTACAGTGGGGCGTCGGTTCCACGAAGTGGCGTAGATGGCAGGGCGAAAATATTATTGGTGATGTCAGAAAGTGGTCACATCTGATAGCAGCAGATAGGGGGCGTGAGAATGGAAGTCTCACAAAATTGATTGTGTGCATAGTAGCAGTAGTGGAAAGGAGGCTCCAACAAGTGTAGTGAGTGGTTCGCTCGGGTTGATGAAGGAGATTGATGATTGTTCTCAGATAAAAATAAAGAAAAATGAGGGTTTGTTGAGAGTCAGTCTTTGCACTGCCTTGGATAGCAGTAAAATTAATACCAGTTCGACCACAAAATTCCCGAATTCGGACAAATAAGCAGACCCAGTTTTTCATTCAAGGTTTGCTAATGCCGACTGCTATAGAGCCATCGAGGACTATGTTGGACATCTTGCCATAATCAGCGGCTTTGCGATCGCTGAACTCTTCGTGATTTTGCACATGAATTAGAGACTCGCTCTCTTTCGGAAGTTCGGTTAGCACTGGACAGGCAAGTGATCATTAAGGTGGAATCTCCAGAAATTTAGTTTTTTTTTGAAATAACAGGTATTAAACCAATTGTAGGTGCAGATTTCCAGTCAGTGACCAGTTCTATAGGGTTCAATATGTAATGCGCAGAGTAGTGCGTCTCAACCAAACTGGTGAATAAAAGAAAAAAGTAAGATTTATCGATGCAGTGTTATATATTGTAGCACCACCGACTGCGGTCAATGATGGCAAGTAGTGCTGCTTCATTGACCATTTCTTAATGGCAGTGTTTCATATTTTTCCTTTTTCTTTCTTTTTTTACATATTTATGAATATACGTATACATTTTGATCTTTGGTTTATCTACTTCCGAGTAAAGAAACCACGCAAGGTAGGTGGTGGGTGTGGAGCATTAGTTCCGAGTTGCGACATCACGTACTCTAGCCGAGAACTTCCTAAATAGTTGACCAGACAGACATAAAGGACAGAGAGAGCTAGAGGCGCAGACGCAGGGAGAGTCGACGCGCCGCAGCGGCGGCGAGACAACTAGGACTTTTGATAGGGGTCCGAGCTCCAAAGGTCAAAGCGCAGAGAAGCAGAAGGCTGCGGCCGCCAATGCATAGAAAGGTGCAAAAGACATGTCGCAGTCATGGGATGAGTTTTCTCAGAGATAGGGGTCTCCAGGGTGGACGAGTAATTTATCGTCAGCAAAAGTTGGGATGTGTAAGGTCACCGTAGTGGACTACGGACGACTTGGACTCAATTCCTTTGAACGCGTCGAATTTGTGTTTTTCTCTGCTCACTCTCGTCCGCCTGCACTTAAGCACTTTGAACCCGCTTTATGGACAAGGGTACCTTGAATAAGGAAGGGATTCCATCATAGGGATTCCATCCGCGTAATGTGGTCTATACAAGGCGAAGTTCACGTGTTTTTCTCACACCCCTCCTTCAAGACTTGGGGAGGAGTGCTTTCTGAATTTGCTTTCTAACTTCTAAAGACGCACTTTTCAGCCGTATTTCTCACAGTCCGCAGAAGAAAATCTTTTCCTCTGGTTTGAAAGATCCGTTTAATTTGTCTCGTGTCAGCCAGGGTGGGTTGCTATCGCAGTTCAATGATATCATTTCTTGGCTCTGTGGCCGGTGCCCTTTGTAGTCACCGACTGCCCTTGTTATCAGGCTTATGAGATAAAGGAACATCTTGTGTCTCTGTTTATGGTTTGTTGTCAGTTACTAAAGACACCGCTCTCAAAAAAGCTCCATACACTGTAGGGCTTTCTATGGGTCCTTACAGGCGTTTTCCAGATTCCTGCGGTAGAGTACTTCCTAACTTCCTGGTACATGCTCCGTTATCGAAAAGTCTTTATCTCCGCAAAAATGCAATTCACGGATATAAAAGATCGTTCCGATAACGGAGTTGTTACTAGGAAGTTCGGCGGAAGCACCTGTGGAGACCCATCGGAGAGCTTTATTCTCCCGGCGTAGGGCACAAATCCCGGATACTAATCCATGACCTCCATTATATGGAACCTTCGACCTTCGGCCAGGTCCATTAAAGTGCTCCTGATACGGAAAGGTTTGAGTTGACTTTGAAAACATCTAGATAGATAAGATATCAAGCAATGTTTTGCCAGACGCCCTGGTCAGATGATGTGATGTGTACACATTTCGATTGCTACCTGTTCTACACAGCTTAAATGTCAATACTTCCAGTCGTCAATTCAATAGCAGCTGCTACCTTTATAGGCCAAGGTAATAAACACCCTTTTACAGGGTTCCAATATGCTCTATATTACTGCCGTTATGGTTTCTATCATTTTATCGGTAACCAATGCAGCTAAAGTGATCTTCAATGGGATGCATTCGTCTGATAGTCACGTTGCTAGTATGCTACCCCTAGCCACAAGGTCGGTCTACCTCTTTCCTTGAGCTTTGCTCTTTTTGCCAATTAATTTCGTTTTTTATTGTAAAACCTCAGAAAGGCCAGCTTTGCATTGCCTAGGCAGAAAAAAAATGTTCTCGAAGAACTATCTGAACTTCACTGTTTCAGGGTTGTGCAAACCCACCCGGCCCCCCTCCGCCGCTCCTTGTGGGTGTGTCTCCCTTATTTCATCTATCAAGCCGCTGCTGACCTTAATTGCTTTTTTCACGGCCTCTGCATTGTTTTCGAATAAGTTCATGGATTTCCGTCCTAAGCCTGCTCCGATGCATGCCCCACCCACTGTGGGCGGAACTCACCATAGCCCGTACTGACTCCCTTTATTTTGGCCTAGGCTCCTCCCATCGCGAAGTTGGTTCGAACCGTCAAAACGGTTTTTCACGTGACTCCCATTTTCCAAGCGGTCACAAAGGACCGGGGAAGGTAACATTTCATACAGTTTTGGACCTCTACTGATTATTCGAAGTAATAGAAAGGCAAGTGCCTAATAGATCTACAATAGAGAAAACCAGAGTGCTGTTCGGCTTAGGGGGAAGGGTGGAATTGTGCACTTTCAATGGTTTTTTTTGTTGGTTCACGTGAACTAACCATCCAACTTTGCAGATACCTGAGGCTTGTGAAGCTATGAAGCGCTATAAGGAGCTACTCCGGTTACAGAGTTCGCAGGTCTCCTTAAGGCGGACTTTGCAGTTCCCTAAGTCCCATTTGATGCCCCCACCCAGCCGAACTGTACAGAAAAAGGAGTGATGCTGCTGTTCTTGTGAATTTTGGGTTATGGTCAAACGCCTGTTTATTTTTCCCCAACCTAATATGTTAATAAAGTCTCAAATTTTTAGGGTTTTTGCAATTTTTTACAAGTTTAGTGTGCCAAATTTACCCTTTCAGGCTGACACAAGAACAGCACATGGTTCATTTTTTGGAGACGAATACAAAAGCCGTCACATTATAATTATCCGAATAATATAACGTTTACCCATGTGGAACTTCAAAGTGAGTCCACTTCGAGTGAATAACACCTGTTTTCATTTTTTCCGGTACTAGTCGCGATCTGCACAAAAAGTCGTCCTGTTTACTTAAGAAGACCCATTTTTCGACGGTTACTTCAAGGTTATGTGGACGAGGATATTCAGCCCTGTTGAGTTCCCTCGGATTTGGGAAACTGGCGACAAGGCATTATTGGAGATGCTAGACCACCACCGAAACGAGGCATGTTTCTCAGTTCATTCTTTCGACCGTATTCGTGCTTTTCGAAGTAGTGGGCTTACACATCTTTCCGGTTAACAGTATCATAATGGCGTCGTCTCTTGAAACCTCCATGGGCGGGAATCTGAATTCTTTGACTAACTAGTGAACCGAATGCGCTTTTCATTTTTGCCTCCAGAATCTGAATTATCGTTTTTATTCCTCTTTGATTTCCCCTGGCGCAGCGGATGTAAGGGGACAGATTATTTTTTGGTTTCGGAATTCTTCTCCTCGCTGGTAGTGTTAGCGGAGTTAGACCTACTACTCTTTCAAAAAGTTCACTTCGAACGAGTCACATATCAGACCAAAAGGTTTCGCTGCCCGACAGGGAGGACGTGGATACGAGTACCAAAGCGGAAGATACCCAAGATGTTCCTCGATAAGCAGGAGCTGGCGCTCGCCCATCACCTTCATGTACACCAAAATATGAAGTCATCTCCAGTCGCAGCCTGACTGGAGAAGACCTTTGGAATTCATGTCACCTCCAAACAGCTGCGAAACTTCTAGTATGGAGTCACCCATGGATAGCTACCTGGAGACCAGTACTCTCGATCTGGATGACCTCCAACATTCGAGCAGCTCCCGACAACGTCGCCACGGTCTAGGCATCATCTTCACCACAGTCGACCAAGGCGCGCGGTCTTGATGGAGTATGGACTCGGACGCCCACCGGAATGCACAAGACTAACTATTTTCTTCGTGGATCTCGGGCTGAAGGTGAGCGCCGGCGGTTACATTGAGCAACTCGTGAAGAATACTGTCGTCACCCGTACCTCCTTGGAAACTTGTACTGCTACAGCATTGGGTGCCACCACGTGGAATCGAAGGGCTTTGGAAAACTCTCGCCTACTCGGAATGGAAGGGGGCTGAGTACCTGAAGAGAGACGGAATCTCCAAGAAGGTTACCTGACCTGAATTCTTTCAATTACCCGGTTTGGGCGGAGTTCAATAGGGTGGTCTACGGTGGCGGAGAAATCGACTATCTCGCTGATCTCAGGCACCACATCGCGGTCGCGTGCCAGAATCTCTCGATGGCGCTCGTCCAGAAGGCTGTGGCGGAGTGTAATGATAGTAATAATATTTAATAATGTAATGATAGTAATAATATTTAATATGCTCTTTAATATGGTGGTAAAAATGTCCGATCAGAATTCAATAAAGTGTAACTTATAGCGCCTCGAAAGTCAATGAAGAAAAGTGACTTTTTTTGCCCCCCCCCCTGTATATGTAGGTAATCGCTATCCTTGAGTTCTCAGCAGGCGAAAGTTTTAAGGTGAAGCGAATGTGCATAATCGTTGTGCCAACTCCATTGGAGGGACATATTTGGCCGCTGAGGGAGAGACCAATTTGCCGTGTGGGAAAACATTTCCGATTGTTGTTTTTTTCAAATTTCACTCGCACCACCCGATAAGTTGGCGAGGCGACAAAGATACTGTTCCCGATGTTGTCGAAGTGCCCACCCCTCTCCTCGCTCGAAGCCAGGATTCTTGCAAAGATCTAATAAGAGGTAGACTATAAAAGTTCGTACTGATACCACCGTTCTACATACCTATAAAAATGTACAGCTGATGTCATCGTAATCCGGCGAGCGGTGAGTGACACATTCCGAAAAAGATTTAATCGAGTCTCTGAAGTTCCGTCTTTCTCAAACATTTCGGTTCAGATGAACGCCGTTATGAATGAATCGTGGGATCTCGTGGTTGCTGATGAACTATTCGCTGTGGCTTCTTACGCTCTAGCGATGAGAGCTCATAGTCACGGGAAACCATTTGTAACGCTCAGTACATGTGTTCCGACAAATCTCATC